AAAAATAAATTTTTTTTTTCAAAAATGTAATTTAATATTTTATTAATAAGTTTTGTTATTAATATATATATCAATTGATAAATAATAAGATTTTTTTTTTACAAAAAAAAAAAAAAAAAAAAAAAAACAATTTTACTTTTTTATTTTATTAATATTGAATAAAAAAATTTTTCTTATATTATTTACTCATGATAAAGTTTACATAATTCACTTAAATAAATTTAAATTGACAAAATTATTTATTAATTTCCCTGTGTAATAAATTTCTATCTCTACAATAAACCCCCTAGTTTAAATAAATTTGTATTACAAATTTTTTTTGGGGGGTGGGAAGGGAGGGTTGTAAATAACAAAACTTATAATTAATTTACAATAATTAACATTTTATATAAAACATTAAATAAAAATTTCTCAGTATAGTTTTTTATACAAAATTATTTATATCATTTAGTATTTTTATTAAAATGTAAATATATAAAATTTATTATTATTATTTTATTATTAAAAATTGTTTAAATAATATTTTTGAAAACATAATTTAAATATAATAAAAAAAAAAAGTTTTATATTACCCTCATAATAATATTAAGTTTTCGGTATAACCTTAATAAAATTTTCATTTAAATAAATAAATAAATGTAAATTTGAATTAATTTGAAAAATGATATAAATTGACCAATGATAAATTATTTTGTTGGCCACAAATAAAATTTAATATACTGGATATAATTTAATTTAACACATATTTACACCATCAAAGAATGAATAATTACTCGTTACTATTTCTAAAGAAATACAAATTAAGGTACAGTGAATTACTTAAGTGCATAATAGATTAGGGAAAGAATCGAACCTGTCTAGTAAGAATAGTATACCTTCATCATTCACTATTTTTTTTGTTTAAATTATGATACAATTTTGTGTTTGATTCATGAAAATTTAACAATAGTCAAATCGTTAACTCATAACAATTGTATTGTATCAATTTAATCGAAACTAAGCGTTTGATTTTTCAGAAAAGTACTTTTACATGAGCTCACAACAATGATTTTACAATGCCTGATATTTCTGTAGTAAACTGTATCACTTATACTAATCATAATAATAATAAGAAACATAATTAATCATTTTAAAATTTACATACTAAAGAAAAGTATTCGATTGAAATCCTAACTTATAATTATTGTAATTATTATGCAGGAAATCCAACTATTGGACATAAAAGGCAAAAAAAACAAAATAAGTAATAAAAGAAATTAATTTTTGAATGAAAACATAAAAGAAAAAAGGAAACAATAATACAAAAATAAAAGTTTAAATATAAAGGAAAATTTTATACGAGGTAATATAGCTAGTAGTGAGAGCAACCCCAGAATGAAGACCTCTTAACCTAGATTTTTTATTTAACAATAATTTTAACAAATTTAAAAGCTCACCGAAGTTTTTATTTCTCTTTTTGTCGATAGTTTACGCACAAATGATTTTACCGGTTCTGTTTCATTATCACTTTCTGAAGAATCCTCACCGTATTGAGAATTTTCCAGTTTTATAAACCCCATCCCTGACTTAAACCGCGACGCCATTTTCAAACTGTCGCTTGCATCCTTCGTTTCCGTTGCAAAGTTCTGTTTTGAAATCAGCTGTAGTTCAAGAGTTCATTCAACTTCAACCGACTTTTTCCACCGATTCCAAAATTATATCTACATTATTTTTAAGTAATTTTATTTTTAAAAACATATATACGTACATAATTATGATTTCCTCATAGTGATTTTTAATATAAATAACAAATAAAAAACCGTTTGAAATTTTAAGATCAAAGTATTTAGGTTATTTAAGTATTTGTTATGATAAACTACTGAAATAGTTAATTTTATGTTCTAATTCTAATATTTTACTGTAATTTTTATTTTAAAAAAAATTTTTTTTGTACTTTTCTCTATTTATAATAAAATAAATATACATTTCTTGAAATCGTTTGATTTTTTTCTGTTTTTGTTTAATAAAATTTTAAAAATACCGCCCAAAGTTGTGATATCACTCATTTCTATAGGTTAAAAAAAAAATAAAATTTTAATTTTTAGTTTGCAGGTTAAAATAATTAATAATCGATAATAATAAATTGTTTAAAGTTATAAAAATTTTAAATTTGATAAATTAAACAACAAAAAATCTTTTTCATAATTTTAATTTTTCCACATAAAAGAAATTAGTTCTTAAATTTTAATAATAAATTTATCAATCAATTTTTTGCTGTTAATAATTGGCAGGTTAAATTTAATTTTTTTAAAATTAATTTTCATGTATAATTTTCTCATTAGTTTATAAAAATTTAAAATAACGAATAAATTTACATAATATAAAATGAATATATATTATTTATTTTTTTAATTAAATATTTTAACCTTAATTATTTCAATAATTATTGAAGTTTAAAGCTTTCACTAAAATTATGGGGCCTTTATTAACCTTATTTAATACTGATTTTGTAAAATTTTTTTCTCATTTTTTACATTGTGTAATAAATGAATAGTTTCAATAATTTAATGGAATTCTTATACTAAATAAAAAACAGTAGAAAAAATACATTTTTCAAAAGCACATTTAAGATTTAAATAAAAACGAAAAAACAAAGCTTTGTGTAAAAATTTTATAGTTGTAAATTAGTTCGAAACATTGAAAATGTTAAATGATTGATTTATCAATTATTTTTTTTACTATAAATAACAAAATTACATCAGGTAAAGTATTAAAATACAAATAAATAGTCTCTTTCATTAATAAATATATTCATACTAATGTATTATAATAATAGTAAAAACTATAACTATATTCGCTTGATTTGATTTGATCGTTACCTGTAGTTGAAGACATTGCTTGAGTAAAATTTAATTATAAAAATTAATCAGAAATTTAAAGTATTGCAAGTAAAATATTTACTGATAACAAATTAATTATGATCACTTGATTAAATAATAAAAAAAATTTATGTAAAAAAGAAGTTAAAAATTTTCAAGTTAGAATCGAGTTTGTGGTAAAAAAAAAAAAAAAAAATTTGTTTTTCGTTAATTATTTTTAATATATTGCAATATTTAAAATCAACAATTAAAATTAATTTACCATTTTAGAAACTTAATCACAAAAATAATATTCACTACACATTTATAAATTACAAATATGAACTCTGGTTAAAAAAAAAAAAAAAATAAAATTTTTTTAATAAATT